AAATATTTGTGCTGCAAAGCTCTGCTTTACTAGCACTGATGGAAAGATGACCTTTTTCCTAGGACTGCTTATCAACAAGGCTATTGGGAAGCTTCTCCCGGTATATTTCCAATGGTGTCTACCCTTGCCTGCCACACCCCCCAGGAAAATATTCACCTCTCAAGATGGTTGATCTGAGATGTTTGCAGAGAATGCACCGTTCATCTTATGGCAACCTGTCAAATGACAGCCTGTGATTTCAAGATGTGCTTAATAGGCTAAGAACACAAAGTTATTATTTAAACAGCCCCAAAGCTGGTTTTAAATTATGGTATTCCGGGGAGAAAACACATGTAAATAATCTGACCATCAAATAAATTCTGCTTATTCCTATTCTGATGAATGATTATAAAACTCCACACAATCAAGTTTTTAAACACCATAGCACGCTGTGACGTAGGCAATCCATTCCATAGGAGCCCTGGTGGTGCAGTAGTAAAGCACTTGGATCACAAGAGTCCAAGGCCCAACTGATCCTGGAGATGGTGCAAGACCAGGCAGGGTTTCCTTCTGTTGTGCATGGGGTTATCATGAGTCGAGGGCTGACTAGATGGCAGCTAACAACAACAATTTGCCCAACACTGGGCTAAGTGTTTAGCAGTAAAAAGAGAATTGTATATGTATATTCAAGCCTCAAGAAACACGTAATCCAGTTTAGGGTGCTTAAAATCTGTTGTTGTTGTTGTTAGGTGCCATTGAGTCAGTTATCACTCATAGTGATCCTATGTACAACAGAGCAAAACACTGCCCAGTCCTGCAGCATTCTCACAATCATTGTTATGCTTGAGCCCATTGTTGGAGCCACTGTGTCAATCCCTCTTGTTGAGGGCCTTACTCTTTTTCGCTGACCGGCTACTTTACCAAGCATGATGTCCTTCTCCAAAGGCTGATCCCTCCTGATAACATATCCAAAGTATGTGTGAGACATAGTCTTGCCGTCCTTGCGTCTAAGGAGCCTTCTGGTTGTACTTCTTTCAAGACAGATTTGTTCGTTCTTTTGGCAGCCCATGGTACATTCAATATTCTTCGCCAACACCATAACTCAAAGGCGTCAATTCTTCTTGGGTCTTCCTTATTCATTGTCCAGCTTTCGCATGCATATGAGGCGATTGAAAACACCACAGCTTGGGTCAGGTGCACCTTAGTCTTCAAGGTGACATCTTTGCTTTTTAACACTTTAAAAAGAGGTCGTTTGCAGCAGATTTGCCCAAAGCAATGTGTGTTTTGATTTCTTCATGCTGCTTCCATGGATGTTGATTGTGGATCCAAATAAAATGAAATCCTTGACAACTTCAATCTTTTCTCCATTTATCATGATGCTGCTTATTGGTCCAGTTGTGAGGATTTTTGTTTTGTTTATGTTGAAGTGTAATCCATACTGAAGGCTGTGGTCTTTGATCATCAGTAAGTGCTTCAAGTCCTCTTCACTTTCAGCAAGCAAGGTTGTGTCATCTGCATAACACAGGCTGTTAATGAGTCCTCCACCCATCCCACGTTCTTCATATAGTACAGCTTCTCGTATTATTTGCTCAGCATAGAGATTGAATAAGTATGCTGAAAAGATACAACCCTGACACACAACTTTCCTGACTTTAAACCACGCAGTATCTCCTTGTTCTGTTTGCATGACTGCCTCTTGATCTATGTACAGTTTTCTCATGAGCACAGTTAAGTGTTCTGGAATTCCCATTCTTTGCAATGTTATCCGTAATTTATTATGATCCACACAGTTGAATGCCTTTGCATAGTCAATAAAACACAGGTAAACATCGTTCTGGTATTCTGTGCTTTCAGCCAAGACCCATCTGACATCAGCTATGATATCCCTGGTTCCACGTCCTCTTCTGAATCCAGCTTGAATTTCTGGCAGTTCCCTGTGATATACTGCTGCAGCTGCTTTTGGATGATCTTTAGCAAAATTTTATTTGTATGTGATATTAATGATATTGTTCAATAATTTCCACATTTGGTTGGATCACCTTTCTTGGGAATAGGTACAAATATGGATCTCTTCCAGTTGGTTGGCCAGGTAGCTGTCTTCCAAATTTCTTGGCATAGACAAGTAAGCACTTCCACACTGCATTCATTTGTTGAAACATCTCAATTGGTATTCCATCAATTCCTGGAGCCTTGTTTTTTGCTAGTGGCTTCAGTGTAGCTTGGACCTCTTCCTTCAGTACCATCGGTTCCTGATCCCATACTACCTCCTGAAATGGTTGGATGTCGACTGATTCTTTTTGGTATAGTGAATCTGTGTATTCCTTCCATCTTCTTCTGAGCATTCCTGTATTGTTTAATATTTTCCCTGTAGAATCCTTAAGAATTGCAAATCCTTCAATACTACAAGATGCATATAATTACAAAAAAGTATTTTAAATTGCTTTAATCTTAAATTATTTTCAAAATTCTTTTAGTTTAAAAACCATAATGAATCTATTTCTTGTTTTTGTCTTTTTGTTTGTTTAGTTTTATTATGTTTTTGTAGCATGTTTATAGCACAAATTAGTTTCTCATTCAAAAATGTATACACAAATTGTTTTGTGACATTGGTTGCAATCCCCACAATGTCTCACGAAAACAATACGAGAACAAAATGGCAGAGTAAATTGGCTACTAGAAACCATACAAAAGCAGCCACTCAAAATCCAAAAGATTAACAATAAAATTTCAGAATTGGATAGCTCAATAGAAGGTGATAGGAGCAAAATTGAGGCAATAGAAGTCAGAATTAGTGAGACTGAAAATAAACCCTTTCACTTCCATTTGTTGGAAGAAAAAATAATGAAGAAAAATGAAGAACATCTAAGAATTATGTGGGATACTATCAAGAGGAAAAATATATGAGTGATTGCAGTTCCAGAATGGGAGGTGGGAGGGGGTAACGGAAAACACAGACAGAATTTTTGAAGATTTGCTGGCAGAAAACTTTCCTAATATCATGAAAGACAAGAAGATATCTATCCAAGAAACTCAATGAACTCATATTCGATAGCTCCCAAAAGAATATCACCAAGACATTATGATATGAATTGAATTGTGTCCCCCCAAAATGTGTGTCAACTTGGCTAGGTCATAATCCCCAGTATTGCGTGTATATCCACCATTTTGTCGTCTGATATGATTTTCTTATGTGTCGTAAATCCTACCTCTCTGATGTTAATGAGGCAGGATTAGAGGCAGTTACATTAATGATGCAGGATTCAATTTACAAGAGCAGATTGTGTCTTAAATCAATTTCTTTTGAGATATAAAAAAGAGAAGTGAGCAGAGAGACAGGGAGACCTCATACCACAAACAAAGCAGAGCCAGGAGTGTGTGTGCTTTGGATATAGGGTCCCTGCACTGAGAGGCTCCTAGAGTGGGGAAGATTGATGACAATGACCTTCCTCCAGAGCTGATAGAGACAGAAACCATTCCCCTGGAGCTAGTGCCCTGAATTCAGACTTCTAGCCTACTAGACTGTGAGCGAACAAATTTCTCTTTGTTAAAGCCATCCATTTATGGTATTTCTGTTATAGCAGCTCTAAATAACTAAGACATATATCATAATCAAACTTGCCAAAACCAAGGACAAGGAAAGAAACCCGAGAGTGGCTAGGGATAAACAATAAGTAACCTACAAGGGAGAACCAATAAGACTAAGCTCTGGCTACTGAGCAGAAACCATGCAGGCAAGAAGCCAATTGGATAACATATATAAAGCCTTGAAGGACAAAAATTGCCAGCCAAGAATTATATATCCAGCAAAATTGTCTCTCGGATACAATGGTGATAGTAGGTCTTTTCCAGATAAACAGAAATTAAGGGAATATGTAAAAACCAGACCAGAATTACAAAAAGTATTAAAGGGAGACATCTGGTTAGAGAAGCAACAACATTAGGCAACAATCCAAGACTAGGACATAGGAAAGATCAACTAGATACCAACCCAGATGGGGAATTCTCAAAAATAAAACAAAGCTAAAAGACAACCAGAGATGTCAATATGTAAATGACCACAATATCAGAACAAAAAAGAGGGAAAAAACGGTGTAGTCATAGAACTTCCATATGGAGAGGAAGTCAAGGCGATATCAAGACATAGAAGACTGGTTTAAACTTAGAAACATAAAGGTAAATTTCAAGGTAACCACAAAGGATGCTAAGAAAACCTACCCATCAAAATGAGAAAGAAAAACATAAAAACTCAGCAAACACAAAATTAACAATAATGAAAGAAATGAAAAGAAAATCTATAAGCAAAAAGAATTTAGCACAAAAAATTAAGCGGAACAAAGAATGTGTCAGCACCACAAAACAAAACAAAATGACAGCAGTAAACTCATACCTATCAATAATTACATTGAACGTAAATAGCGTAAATGCACCAGTAAAAGACAGAGAGTGGCAGAATGGATTAAAAAGCATGATCCATCTATATGCTGTCTACAACAGACATTGCTGAGACACGAAGACATAAACTAAACCTTGAAGGGTGGAAAAAATATATCAAGCAAACAATAACCAAAAAATACAGGAGTGGCAATATTAATCTCCAATAAAATAGATTTTCAAGCAAAATCCACCATAAAGCATAAGGAAGGTCACTCTATAATGACTAAAGTGTCAATACACCAGGAGGACATAACCATAATAAATACGTATGCACCCAATGACAGAGCTCCAAAATACATAAAACAAACTCTAACAGCATTGAGAAGAGAAATAGTTCCACAATAATAGCAGGAGACTTCAACACACCAGTTTGGGTGAAGGACAGCACCTCTAGAAACTCAGTAAAGATTTAAAGATCTAAATGGAGGGGTGGAAAGCTCAGGCCTTGCCTTGCCCAGTCCACACCCTGCCCTCTCAATCTGAGGCCCTGCCCCGCCCCTTGTCACCCCAGGCTCCGCCCCGTGCACACTCCCTCCCCCTGCACTGCTTCGCCACGCCCCCTGCCCAGCCCTCCTCGCGCGCCATTTCCTGCCGAGAGTGGGGAGGCTGGCTGGAGCGACAATCACAAGGGTGAGTGAGTGTCCTCTTTCCAGTTCAAACTAGCGCTTCGCGCCTCCTCCTCTCCTCCTCCTCTCCTCCTCCTCCCCGCTTGGGGTCCGGGGATCCCTGCGGACGTCCAGGTCCCGGTACCCGCCCGGCTGTCGTCCCGGATCCGCGTCCGTTTCCCATTAAAGCAGCTCCAGTCGGTTCGCCCGGCCTTCCTACCTCAGGCGGGTGGACCCGCCTGCCCCCTTTCCTGTCAGAACCCTTCACCGACCTCTCCCCACCTCGCGCCGGGAAAGGCCCGGCAGGTCTTCTCGCCTGCGCCCCCAGCCCTGTCCCCTGCGCTCTCAGGGCGGCGCTAGCCGCTCCCCATGGTCCCAGGAGGCGAGTCAGAAAGTTTTGTTCAGTTTATCATTTTCAGTCAAATAATCTGTTTCTTCCTTTGATTCCTGAAGCCTATCATTTCTTTAAAATTTTACTGATATTTACTTAATTTTTAATATGAAATTTGTGTTTCCTTTATCCCTCTCTTGGTTTACAGATTTGAACAGTCAGTTTGTTTTCAGACCCTGCACCTCCTTTTTTTTAAAAAAAGTTCCTGGGTGGCTCAAACGGTTTGCGCTGGTGTACTGGCCTAAAAAAAGGCTGGCAGTTGGAATCCGCTCAGTGGCATCTCAGAAGAGAAACCTGTGCCTTTGTAAAGATTACAGCCAAGAAAACCCTATGAACAGTTCTAGGCTGTAACACATGGGGTTGCCATGACTCTGAATTGACTCCAGGACAATAGTTTTTTGTTTTTCCCTTTTCTTTATTTTTGATATTATATTTTTAAAGATACATTTATTTCAAGATCACTGCTTTGACCGCATTCCCTGGTTTTGAGTACTTTGATTCTTTGTGGTGACAATGACTCCAAGTTGATGGTTTACCAGTTGTCACATAGGTTCTAAAAACTTTTCCTATAGTCAGATTCTAAGTATATAAACTATCTTTTGCTTTTTTTATTTATTTAGTTTTGCTTCCACTATATGATTTTTGTTTAATTCCATTTTGATTTTGTTGTGCAAGAACTATGGTGTACCTAATATCTCCTATTCTTTTCTTTTTTTTTTTTTTTGAGATTGTCTCAGAGCTTTATTTCTAATTGAACACAACACAATATCCAGTAATAGGAGAATTGTTAAAAACGGTAAGATATCATCTTATTTGAAATTAGCTGACATTTTCTCTATGACTCATTACATGGTCATAATTGAATGTTCAACTGGTATATCCAAGTGTCTTTGATAAAGGTTCATTTTGTATTCACTAATTTGTTGTTGTTGTTAGGTGCCCTTAAGTAGGTTCTGACTGTAAGTGACACTATGTGACAGAGTAGAACTGCCCCATAGGGTTTTCTAGGCTGTAATCTTTATGGGGGAACCCTGGTGGCCCAGTGGTTAAGAGCTTAGCTGTTAACAAAAGGTTAGCAGTTTGAAGCCACCAGCTGCTCCTTGGAAACCCTATGGAGCAGTTCTACTCTTGAGTAGAACTATGAGTTGGAATCCACTTGACAGCAATGGGTTTGGTTTGATTTTTTGTAATCTTTAAGGGAGCAGATTGTCAGGTCTTGGGGTTGAAAGGACAGCCTTTCGTTTAGCAGCCAAGCATGTAACCATTGCACCATCAGGCCTCCTTATTGCACCACCAGGGCTCCTTATTCACTAACTTACATATACTAAATCCTCAGTATGCTTACATTTTATTGTATTATGTTGTTGCTGTTGTCAGGTGCTGTTGAGTCAGTTCCAACTCATAGCGACCCTATGTACAACAGAACAAAACACTACTCGGTCCTGTGCCATCCTCTTGATCGTTGCTATGTTTGAGCCATTTGTTGCAGCCACTGTGTCAGTCCATCTTGTTGAGGGTTTTCCTCTTTTTCACTGACCCTCTACTAAGCATGATGTCGTTCTCCAGGGACTGGTCCCTCCTGATAAAATGTCCAAAGTACATGAGATGAAGTCTCACCATCCTTGCTTCTAAGGAGCGTTCTGGATGTACTTCTTCCAAGATAGATCTGTTTGTTCTGGCAGTCCATCGTATATTCAATATTCTTCGCCAGCACCATAATACAAAGGCATCAGTTCTTCTTTGGTCTTCCTTATTCATTGTTCAGCTTTCCCATGCATATGAGGCGATTGAAAATACCCTGGCTTGGGTCAGGCACACCTTAGTCCTCAAAGTGGCATCTTTGTTTTCAATACTTTAAAGAGGTCTTTTGCAGCAGATTGGCCCAATGCAATATGTCGTTTGATTTCTTGACTGCTGCTTTCATGGGCATTGATTCTGGATCCAAGTAAAATGAAATCCTTGACAACTTCAACGTGTTCTCCGTTATATTATTGTATGCATGAACAACCAAAACCAATTCTGACTCATAGCGACCCTATAGGACAGAGTAGAACTGCCCCGTAGGGTTTCCAAGGAGTGGCTGGTAGATTCGAACTGCTGACCTTTTGGTTAGCAGCCGAGCTCTTTAACCACTCCGCCACCAGGGCTCCATATGCATTATAGACGTGATTTCAGTGGGAATTGTTTTCAGTTTTTCCATTCAAGCTTAATGAGTAATCAATTTTTCTTTGAATTTGCATGTTTCTGTTTAATCATGTTTCCAGCATACATTTTTATGTGCACACATAGATGTGAATATCCTGTCTTTGTGTTTAACTTTCCCTTTGGCTAGTTGCCATTGAGCTGATTTCATCTCATGGTGACCCCATGTGTTACAGAGTAGAACTGTTCCATATGGTTTTTTATTGGCTGTAATCTTACTGGAAAATGAAGACACTCTTTGTATACTGTAGGTTCTTATTGCAACCAAACAAAAACCGTTTGCCATTGAGTCGATTCAGATTCATTGTGACCGTGTAGGACAGAGTAGAACTGCCCCAAAGAATTTCCAAGGAGCAGCTGGGGCATTCATACTGCCGACCTTTTGGTTAGCAGCTGAGCTCTTAACCACTGCACCACCAGGGCTCCCCTTTTTGCAACAGGAATGCTGTAATGGGTAATCATGTTGATTTCCTTTGTAATCCACACAAATGCCCCGGGAATAATCTTTGTTCCCCCTTTTTTTTGTTTAAAGAAATTTAAATTAAGCACTACCGGATTTAATGTACTACTGTAGTTAGCTAAACTCGAGGTTAAGAACACTGTCCTCCAGACTGCCAAATCTTTCTGAGACTTCTGACACCAACTACAAGTTAGGGAGTTTACCAAAACCACCCTCAGATTCCATATAGAAATACTCTTAGAACTCACTGGAAGCTATTATACTCATGATCACATTTTTACAGGGAAAACATAGAAATTAAAACCAGCAAAAGAAGAGACACACCTAGGGCAGAGTATAGGAGGGTTCCAAATACCAAGCTTCCACATCCTCAGGATGTGATCGATGGCATTGATGGTGGTAATATCCATGGATTATTGTCAACCCTAGATAGTCACATGAGGTTCAGTGTGCAGAGTTTTTTTTTTTTTTTTGGAGTCTTCATCACATAGATATGATTGATTGAATTTTTGCCCGTGTGGCTGACTGCCAGCCCTCCACTTGCCTTCCCATCCCCTAAGTCAGGCTGGTATCATGGGGCCCAAAGCCCTGTCATAAGATACCCAAAGTCCATTTTGTAAATGCCTTGGCATCCCTTTTCTTTCAGCCTGTGGTTAAACATTACATATTTCAAAAGAGCAGGATGCTTGGCTTCCTAATCAACTTACCCTCACGTGCACACACAAAATGTCAGGTAACATCCAGAGGAAGTTCCACCCCTCACTGGCTCTCCCTTTCCTCACCTACATGTCACATCTGGGAATCCAGGTAAGGACCCCACACCCTGTCTGCCAAATTCGCGCCCCCTAGACCTCCTAATTTCCCGCCACTTGTTTTAAATTAGCCAGTAAGCTCGTGAAATAAAATGTACTCTCCTCCTTGGTCCCTATTAAAGACCAAGCCCGGGTCTGTTTGCACTCTCTTTGATTCTCCCCTTCTTCAGCTCTCACTGTGTGTGGCCCTGGAGTATACTCCCTCTAGGCCCTGTGAGTAATAAACAGTCATTTCTTTGTTTTGGTTGTTGAATGTTAAAGTGCAGCTTTGTAACCAAAGAAACCCCCACCTAATTTCCACTCAGGTGGTTTCACCTGCTGACCCCCTCTGGGTGGCTGCGTGTTTCCTCCTGCAGTGGGCTTTCATTTACCTCTTCATATTTGTCTAATATTAACACAAGCTCCAGCTCTCTAATCACATGGTGGGTCTTTCTGGCAAGACCAGCTTCCACTCTGTGTCACCTCTTTAGTATAAACTGTCAGGTGAGGACCAAGGGGCCCACCACGAATCACAAAGGCAGTCCTATCACTCTGGAAATGCCAGTGGTTTAGAGGTTACCTCCCAGGAGCCGGGACAAAGGCCAGAACTCTCTTTGTTGTTATTAGTTGCCATTGAGTCCATTCTGACTCATGGTGGCCCCATGTCTGCAGAGTAGAACTTCTCCATAGGGTTTTCAAGATAGTGACCTTTCAGAAGCAGATCACTAGGCCTGTCTTCAGAGGCACTTCTGGGTGGGTTTGAACCACCAACCTTTTGGCTAGTAGTCGAGCACTTAACTGTGCCCAGCTGCCATTGCCCCCTCTTTAGGTGAGATCAAATTCCTTACTACAGAAGTAGAATTTAAATATGTTCATTGTACTAAAATACTGAAAAATATCAACAGAAAATAATAATGGAAACCCAGCCAGGAAATGCATCATTCAAAGACAACTGCTCTGTTTTTGGTTAATTATACTGTTGGTGTGCATGCACCATTGGTTTCTATGAAAGACATTTTATCATTTCATAAATAAGTTTTACATGTTTTTCCCATGGCCTTAAATACTTTAATACTGTCATGTCAATAAGGAGCCCTGGTGGTGGAATGTGTAAGCGCGCAGCTACTAACCAAAAGGTTTAACCCACTTAGCTGCTCTGTGGAAAAAAGACCTGGCAATCT